AAAAGATGTACTGTACAGTATTAGGAGCATCAAAACGGAAAATGATGTAAATGTAATGAAGAGTTCATGGGATCATGAGCTGCATTTTTTCCTTCAAGGATTTGCGGATTGATGTATGGAAAAATCTCACAGAAAACATTTGATCACCCATCTACGAAGGATTGGCCAAAATTACCTGAAGGATTTGTTGATAGAATCCCAGAGAGTTCTGTATATAATCACGGAAAAACAAAAGCGGTATCGCATTTCATTCTGGTAGAAACCGGATCAGCCCACGCACTTCACCTCAATGTTATTGTTTTTCCGCTGATTCGATGGGAGATTGAGAGGAAGTATTTTTATCCCAGTCAGCAGGAGAAAAGCATTTCGCTATTCTAGCAGCAGAAAAATAATTATCATAAAAAGCCCTTATACAGCGAGAAAACAGCCAGGAAAATTCTCCGAGCGAAAAAAATATTGACAAAGGTAGCGAAAAAGCGAAAGAAAAATTTATTTCGAGATATTATTCTTGTCACACCAAAGCCCAAATAAGATCTGAGGAAGTACCACTTTGTAACAATTCGAAGTTTCAAACTTCGTGAAGAAAATTCTCTGTGAAGATATGCGATGAACAAGAAAATATATTTTTTTGGGAATTGAAAATCGTTCATTGAAATTTAAAATTTTTGTTGTTGAAACATCTCTTAATTTTTGCGAGAGGATTATTTTGGAGGTTCAGTAGATTCAAAGATATTTTCAGTGAAAATATATTTTGTTCAAGGAAGCCCTCGTTATAAATAACTCATATAAAATGTTGCCATTTCTGATCAAGGACCTAAAAACGACTTCCTTGTAAGCGATTGTTCGTTTTAATGAGATGCTTTGCAAAACGATTTTACTGTTGAGCAACCGATGAATTGTAAATTGAATCGTTGAGCGCAAAGCTTTCCACGAAACAATACACAATGCACCACTTTTTCATATTTAAAAGTTTCTTTTTCAATTAAAAAAAGCTATCCCTGAGGAAAAAATGTAAGAATATATTCAAAAGAAAATTTGGCTATAGGGCCGATTTTTTCTGGGGTGCATTTCGTTGGAGTTATTTTCGCCTGTCGCACATTTTCGTTGCCTTGACGTCTTCCGCCGGAGTTTCTCATCCGAAAGCGAGGATTTCCTGACAAATTATACCCATCTCGTTGCGTCGAAAATAGCACAAAATCGAGTTTCCGTCAAACGAAATCCCGCACCGACCCGCGTTTGAAAACCTTCATGACTGTTCATTGTGCTACTCCTGTCCAGAAAAGTCACGCGGCTAAGTCACGTGCCCTGTCGGCTTTTCCGCTCACATATGCCTGTCATAAAAGTCGCGAGCAAGGATAATGGAGCTGTTCTTCACAAGCCGGCTGTTCAAAATGTCATGGCGAAACTGTTGTTGAGAAAAATACGTACTTCGGGTTGATTGATGTTGTCTTAACCGGAATAAGTGCGAGTTATTCCTCGGAAAGTGCCACTGCCCAGTTAAACTTGAAGGAATTATTTACTCGAATTCTCAAGATTTTTTTTTTTGTGTGTGCATCGAATGAATGTGGATGAAGGCCGACTTCGTGCGATATCAGGATAAGCATTACTTCATTATTTCCGACGGGCATTTTCCCGTAAATCGAATAACTGGTCTTTACCTGGCTGCTGCTGGAAAGAAGCATGTTTCGTGTGCAGTACCTGACTTATTACGTAAGAATGCACAGCAATCCTCTCATCCGGCTCAATTAATTAACGTAGAACGTGGTCGATTCGAGAGAGCAATTCGCTTGTAATACTGTACACGGAAGTTCAATCGAGAAATCGAATGAAAATGGATCAGCTGANTCGAGATATTATTCTTGTCACACCAAAGCCCAAATAAGATCTGAGGAAGTACCACTTTGTAACAATTCGAAGTTTCAAACTTCGTGAAGAAAATTCTCTGTGAAGATATGCGATGAACAAGAAAATAGATTTTTTTGGGAATTGAAAATCGTTCATTGAAATTTAAAATTTTTGTTCTTGAAACATCTCTTAATTTTTGCGAAAGGATTATTTTGGAGGTTCAGTAGATTCAAAGATATTTTCAGTGAAAATATATTTTGTTCAAGGAAGCCTTCGTTATAAATAACTCATATAAAATGTTGCCATTTCAGATCACGGACCTGAAAACAACTTCGTTGTTAGCGATTATTCGTTTTAATGAGATGCTTTGTAAAACGATTTTACTGTACTTATTGAGCAACCGATGAATTGTAAATTGAATCGTTGAGCGCAAAGCTTTCCACGAAACAATACACAATGCACCACATTTTAGTATTCAAAAGTTTATTTTCCAATTAAAAAAAAAGCTATCCCTGAGGAAAAAATGTAAGAATATATTCAAAAGAAAATTTGGCTATAGGGTCGATTTTTTCTGGGGTGCATTTCGTTGGAGTTATTATCGCCTGTCCCACATTTTCGTTGCCTTGACATCTTCCGCCGGAGTTTCTCATCCGAAAGCGAGGATTTCCTGACAAATTATACCCATCTCGTTGCGTCGAAAATAGCACAAAATCGAGTTTCCGTCAAACGAAATCTCGCACCGACCCGCGTTTGAAAACCTTCATGACTGTTCATTGTGCTACTCCTGTCCAGAAAAGTCACGCAGGTAAGTCACGTGCCCTGTCGGCTTTTCCGCTCACATATGCCTGTCATAAAAGTCGCGAGCAAGGATAATGGAGCTGTTCTTCACAAGCCGGCTGTGCAAAACGTCATGGCGAACCTGTTGTTGAGAAAAATACGTACTTCGGGTTGATTGATGTTGTCTGAACCGGAATAAGTGCGAGTTATTCCTCGGAAAGTGCTCTGTTAAACTTGAAGGAATCATTTACTCGAATTCTCAAGATTTTTTTGTGTGTGTGTGCATCGAATGAATGTGGATGAAGGCCGACTTCGTGCGATATCAAGATAAGAATTACTTCATTATTTCCGACGGGCATTTTTGGCATTTAGCTTATTGACCAGAAATGGACCGACGACGACCTTTCTTCGTACAAAGCACACGTCATGGACTGAATAATGCATTCTTACGTGTCGTTAGGAGAGTAGGCCGAGTTAATTAATTGCATCTACGTGGTCGATTCGAGAGAGCAATTCGCTTGTAATACTGTACACGGAAGTTCAATCGAGAAATCGAATGAAAATGGATCAGCTGAAGTGGGAACAATTGGAAAGTGCAATCACGTCGTCTTTCGTGTAAGCTTCAATATAATGCAGGTGATTGAAGGCGAGCACATTTCCAAAGCCAACTCTTCGAATTTTTTTCATGGCGTTCAAAGCTTCAAGAATAATGCCGAATTGCATTAAAGTAAAGTACTTAAGTACGGCATTTATTTGCTAAAGCCGTAAACTGACACACGTGTCTCGATCATTATCCAAATATATCATCTAACGATTCTAACCTATAATTAAGGAATTAATTTAAGAATAAATCATTGATTTGCTTATTAATTCATCATGTTGAACTTCCTGCTATAAACACAGTCAAACATTCTTGAGATCCAAAATCTAAATCGCCATTCAGCATGAAGAAAATTTTCGACCCTGCATATAATGCAATGGGTCATGATTGATGAAATGAATAATTCAGATAACACAGAACCTCTTTTAAAGTGATTATGAAAAAACGAGAATGTTCTGTAGAGCATTTTACTTTTTCAGTGTCAGGTAAGGACAACAAGACAAAATATGAAAATAACGTAACGAAAAAGCGGAAACATAGACGCCTTATGACATATTGTTTATGAAAGTGGTAAAAAGAACCCTTAAGTTGAAGCTAAAGTACAGTCAAAGCTAGTGGATACGGAAGCAGCGCGTCATTCTTACTGTTCATGTTTAAATCGTGGGCTGGAAGAAAAGCTACAGTGTACTTCATTTCCAGAAAAAAACCATGATAAAATGCCTCGAGAGATTCGATGCCAAGGAAAGAAAAGGCCGGTGGAAAGCAAGAAGAAAATTTTCATTCACAGTCACGAACAAAACAGATCATAATCAATCTGAAATCATATGCTGATTATTCTGTGTTGCGAGTCTAATGAACTGTTCAAGTGGATTTTACTCTAACCATGTTTTTCCTGGAGCTCGTAGGAATTGCAGAGGGTTCATCAGTAAAAAAAGAAGTGTTGAATTTCAAACCAGGATGCTTTGAAAACTATGGGATATTTTATATTGAAGCATAGAGTTTTTCTTACAGTGGACATTGTTCTGAACTTCGAGAGCTTTCAAGTTAAGAAACTAAAATTTTTGTGGGGAAAATAAACAAGAATTAACTGAAGTTAAAATTGATCATCTTCTGGGTCTTGAACTGTTGGGTAAATGACTTGACGGGGTGCTTCTTGGCATCGTTATTTATTTGCCCAACGGTTTTGAAAATAATTCTGTTGAATTTTCATAGCTTTTCTTTTTCCTGGGTCCACAGAATATTAGCAAAAAGCCTGTCTATAGAAATTGGACTTATAAGGATTTGAAGGGAAAATCCTTGAGTTTGGGAGTTATTCTATACAGAATTACATTGTTCTTGAGGGAACTCATCTGAGGACAGGGACTAAACAAAAATTTGACATAGAGAAGGTTTTTGAATTGAGGGAAGGTTGAGACATCAAGTATGTTTTAATGATGACGTAAGTTCCATTTCTGTCAATGTCATTTTTTCTCTGGGCTTGTTTTACCCAATTTTTCAACTGACAAAATATATGGCACACATTTTTGGTGAACAGTTTTGCATTTTCTTGTTCGACGAGATTTCCGTTCACTGATCGAAAATTTGCATGTTCACAGATTTGTTTGACGAGTCTCACAAATTCTTCGCCAATAGACTTCAGCGCGTGGAAAGACAATTTATCAGCAGGTAACTTTTTTTTACGAGGTAAGCGAAGTGCATGCCTTTTCATTACTGTTCTTCTGGAAAATCAAAATTTGTTCTCGTATGGTTGTTGACTCTTAATACACCAAAACGTCAGTCGCCGAAAGGATTTTCAAAACGTAAAAACAAAAAAACACTTCTTTCAAACTTGAAGAACAAGCGCGACTCCGGCGAGAATCCATTTGTTCGGTCGCTCCTTGGTCTTCAGGTTGAAAGTCCATACGAACGTCGGCCCCCTTTGACGGGTTTTGTAAACCGGGCATTCATACACGTTCTTCGTATCCTGTTTGTCTTGAGGAATTGCCTGAAAACAATGAAACGAAATGAACACTTGAAAGAACCTTGAACATCGCCTATGGATGCTCTTCCGTCTCGAGGAACAACAATCAAAGCAAGCGACAGGAAACGACTTTCATTATGTGTAGGTCTGGAGAAAAGCATCCAGACCAAAATCACTCATTTTCTTGAGCAACTTTTCTTGTTTCTCCTTCATGAAAATGTGAATGGTTTCAATCTTGGATGACAGCGGTTTTATTCACGAATGTTTCACCACATTAATGAATGGATGGCTTGATGAAGATGTGACATGAAATCTGCTTTTGATCCACATTATTTAATTCTTTTGTGGGAAAATCTACACGCATGAGAAAATTACGAATCAAGAAAAGCCCATCTGATGATCATTGGGCACATGAAGGGATTAGGTTTTTCTTAAATGTCTTCTGTTTGGTTTTCTTTCATTTGACTGCTCCACTACAGCAACATTTTGGAAGGACTTCGAGAAATAATGTGCGTTGACTTCTGTCGTATTTACATTTCTGCCTTCGTATGTATAGATTTTTGCAAGCTTATTTATAGCATATTGATGAGCAAATGGCTTGATGAAATTGTGGCATAAAATCTGCACTTGATCCACATTATGTCGTTTTTTTTATCGAGAAGATCTACACATGAGAAAAGGACAATTCACCTGATGATCAATTGGTTCATGAAATGAAAAATATTTTTAAATGCATTTTGTAATGTTTTCTCTCATTCGACTGCGAGGCAAAATTTTGGAAGGGGATTGAAACAAGATATGCGTCGAATTCTGTATTGTATACGTTCTNCTGTTGTTCTGTTTTATACTTTTATTGCATTGCTTTTTCGCCTTTGTATCTGCGGAATACTGTATAACAAATACTTTCACCATTTTTCTTGGGAATTCAACTTCGATTTCATGTCAGTTTCGATCACAATCATGAAGCATCATTCTTACTGTTCATGTTTAAAGCGTGGGCCTGAAGAAAAGCTACAGTGTACTTAATTTCCAGAAAAAAACCATGATAAAATGTCTCGAGAGATTCGATGCCAAAGAAAGAAAAGGCCGGTGGAAAGCAAGAAGATAATTTTCATTCACAGTCACGAACAAAATAGATCATAATCAATCTGAAATCATATGCTGATTATTCTGTGTTGCGAGTCTAATGAACTGTTCAAGTGGATTTTACTCTAACCATGTTTTTCCTGGAGCTCGTAGGAATTGTAGAGGGTTCACCAGTAAAAGAAGAAGTGTTGAATTTCAAACCAGGATGCTTTGGAAACTATGGGATATTTTATATTGAAGCATAGAGTTTTTCTTACAGTGAACCTTGTTTTGATTCAAACTCGTGGTGACCCCCGATTGACTTCGAGAGCTTTCAAGTTAAGAAACTAAAATTTTTGTGGGGAAAAATAACAAGAATTAACTGAAGTTAAAATTAATCATCTTCTGGGTCTTGAACTGTTGGGTAAATGACTTGACCGGGTGCTTCTAGGCATCGTTATTCATTTGCCCAACGGTTTTGAAAATAATTCTGTCAAATTTTCATAGCTTCTCTTTTTCCTGGGTCCACAGAATATTAGCAAAAAGCCTGTCTATAGAAATTGGACTTATAAAGATTTGAAGGGAAAATCCTTGAGTTTGGGAGTTATTCTATACTGAATTACATCGTTCTTGAGGGAACTCATCTGAGGACAGGGACTAAACAAAAATTTGACATAGAGTAGGTTTTTGAATTGAGGGAAGGTTGAGACATCAAGTATTTTTTAGTGATGTAGTAAGTTCCATTTCTGTAAATGTCATTTTTTCTCTGGGCTTGTTTTACCCAATTTTTCAACTGACAAAATATATGGCACACATTTTTGGTGAACAGTTTTGCATTTTCTTGTTCGACGAGATTTCCGTTCACTGATCGAAAATTTGCATGTTCACAGATTTGTTTGACAAGTCTCACAAATTCTTCGCCAATAGACTTCAGCGCGTGGAAAGACAATTTATCAGCAGGTAACTTTTTTTTTTTTACGAGGTAAGCAAAGTGCATGCCTTTTCATTACTGTTTCTTCTGGAAAATCAAAATTTGTTCTCGTATGGTTGTTGACTCTTAATACACCAAAACGTCAGTCGCCGAAAGGATTTTCAAAACGTAAAAACAAAAAAACACTTCCTTCAAACTTGAAGAACAAGTGCGACTCCGGCGAGAATCCATTTGTTCGGTCGCTCCTTGGTCTTCAGGTTGAAAGTCCATACGAACGTCGGCCCCCTTTGACGGGTTTTGTAAACCGGGCATTCGTACACGTTCTTCGTATCCTGTTTGTCTTGAGGAATTGCCTGAAAACAATGAAACGAAATGAACACTTGAAAGAACCTTGAACATCGCCTATGGATGCTCTTCCGTCTCAAGGAACAACAATCAAAGCAAGCGACAGGAAACGACTTTCATTATGTGTAGGTGACAGGAGAAAAGCATCCAGACCAAAATCACTCATTTTCTTGAGTATCTTTTCTCGTTTTTCCATTCATTACTTTTACACTTACCAAAGTTAGAACCTACTGTCGCCAAAATAAGTGCTTACAAAGTGGTGTAATTACTTACCTACCGAACTACTTCTACACTGTACTTTAGACGAAAACTAGGTGTAATAAATTATCTTTTGTGGGAAAATCTACACGCATGAGAAAATTACGAATCAAGAAAAGCCCATCTGATGATCATTGGGCACATGAAGGGATTAGGTTTTTCTTAAATGTCTTCTGTTTGGTTTTCTTTCATTTGACTGCTCCACTACAGCAACATTTTGGAAGGACTTCGAGAAATAATGTGCGTTGACTTCTGTCGTATTTACATTTCTGCCTTCGTATGTATAGATTTTTGCAAGCTTATTTATAGCATATTGATGAGCAAATGGCTTGATGAAATTGTGGCATAAAATCTGCACTTGATCCACATTATGTCGTTTTTTTTATCGAGAAGATCTACACATGAGAAAAGGACAATTTACTTGATGATCAATTGGTTCATGAAATGACAAATATTTTTAAATGTTTTTTGTAATGTTTTCTCTCATTCGACTGCGAGGCAAAATTTTGGAAGGGGATTGAAACAAGATATGCGTCGAATTCTGTATTGTATACGTTCTTGCATTTGTAGGTTTCGATATCTCTTAGCTTCTTATCGTGAAATTCGCAATTGTCTATTTTTCAACAAGTACAAAAGGCTTCCCTCTGAACCCCTCAGAATTATAAAGATCGCATCGAATGTAACGATTGACTATTGGGTGATTTTTTTTTTCCGGGGCGTTTTGTACAGTGGGTTCTTTTGGCCGGGTGCCGAACGACAGCTACAGCAATCACGTAGAACACAACGCCTGGGTTCTCTTCTGAAAGCGAGTCGTCATCACAAACGTGTGTGCCCAGTCCATTTGTTCTGAAGATGTTGGGCAAACGAGAGTTTCAGTACACTGTACTGTGCGTTTGCGAATATGTCCTCTTTCAGTGATCTTGAATACTCTAAGCGAGTCGTCATCACAAACGTGTGTGCCCAGTCCATTTGTTCTGAAGATGTTGGGCAAACGAGAGTTTCAGTACACTGTACTGTGCGTTTGCGAATATGTCCTCTTTCAGTGATCTTGAATACTCTGGAGTTTTTGCCTTGTGCATGGAACGTCACAAAATTCTGTTCCCATGCATCAGGGAGCAGCAACAGCAGCTGTGGTGCTGGTCATGAGAGCTTGTGCCACAATTTTGGGTTTATTTTTGCAGTGAAATCTTTTTGCAAAAAATGTTTGGGGAGTGCAGAATAAGTTTGTTTTCTGAATAAATTTTTTATAATGAAATTTTCAGAATTAATGACAACCAAATTTTTACATCCGACCTACCAAATGATTAATTATATCTTGCCTGTTATGCTTTCCCAGATTTTTTTATTTTTGTTTGAAAACTTGAGTGATCTTATTGAAAAAAAATTATCTTATTAAAAAAAACATTTGAGACTGATGGAGAATACTCCCAAAAAGAACCGCAACACTCAACTGTTTTTGATTATAAATTTGAGTGAATTTATGACGGATTTTTTTCTTCAAATTTTTGAATATAAATAGCGCAATTTGTTGGAGAAATATCCAAATTTTGAAAAATTAAAATGTTTAAATCGTCTAGAAATGTTGGAAAAGTGTCCATTATTCAGATATTACCTGTATGCTGGGGCAGACTTCTTTAGGTTTCTAGATTCTCGTGTCCCTTTTTGGGAAACCACACGTACGCGCCAAATATTAAAATGAAAATTATAAAAAATTACAAAAACCTAGCATCAGATAAGAGAACCAACCCTCGAAAGGGAAGGAACTCTTCAAGGAGAACTACACTGCTCAAGAACAATGAAAACAGGAACCAATTTCTGCGTGCGCATTGTTGTTTGCTGAAGAACAAAGCCATGTTTGAGATCAAACTTTTGCTGTGTGCAGTGTACAAAATTAAAAATTTCGAAGAGTTCTGCTGAGTTGTTGAAAGTGTTGCTGGAGTTATCTACTCAAAATTATTGTGTTGGGACACAAATTGAAATGCAATTCAAATAGTTTTAAATAGGAAATCCTAAAAGGATTCCCTGCCTAGTCCCAGGCTGATTCTGCCTTTTATTTCTTGAATTTCGAGCTTTACTTCATTCTTACTTTTTAGATCCACTAGCAATTTCTTCCACATTTATGTTGAGGTAAGTTATTCCTCAACAGCAGTCCCTAAGTCGAATTGTCCTTATGTTGGGTTCTCACTGTACTGTACTTCACACTATTCGAATTAATGTATGGACAACGAACCTTGACGTAAATAACAGGCATGGGTGGGAAGAGCTCTTTCATGCGAGAATCCGTGATGCTGCCAGCTGCTGTGTCCCAACGAGCTCCTTCCATGTACAGGCCATGTAGATACGCTCCTTCCCTCGGCGGTGCTCTATTCGTACATAGAAAGAAACAAATCAGAGACTTGGACGAATTTGAAGGGTTCGGCTCATGGGTTGCTGCTCAACTCCGCATATACAGGGTGAATCCTAAAGAAAAAAAAGTACCACAATGATTTCTCGAGAAGCAGTGGAGTAATTGGACCTTTTGTCTTGTTCAGTCACGCAGCAGTATTGACAGCTGATATCTGCGCAATTGATGCCATGGTATGATAACAGCCGGTATAAAATCTTTTTGCAAACAAAGGCAGTTGGATCTGAACAGAAATCCTTTTTTTATGCAGTAGGAAGAATTCCGACATGATGTGTATTCTTGCGAGGGGATCTCAAAACATAATTTGCTAAAATAAACAAGAATTTCCAACAAGACAAATTTGAAGTTATGGCAGAAAAAATGGCAAGTTGAGAAGCCTTCGTCAGCAACTGTCTTTTGAAATTTTTCAAATGATCATTATGATAACCACGAAAACGTATGGCCAGTCATTTTGAAGTTTTTGACAAGAAATTTAATTTATTATTGTATTTTTGCTCTATCAGAAAGGTTGGAATAAAATCGTTCAGGTTGTAAAGGGAATCTCTGTTGGAGAACTCATCTTTTAGTGGTTTACCCTGCATAATGAGGCACATTTTTCCATCGGATCGTCAGGTTTGATCAAAAAGACCCTCACGACGTGTGCCCAGAAGAGAACCGCCTTCCATTTCTGGGTATGCGAGTTATTCTTTTTACTCATTGCTCACATCAAAGAAAAATTCGCAAATACTGAGGAAGTTGAAGAAAATGTAATAAATTTATCGAATTTACGAGTCGTTTTTTTTTAGCTGAGCTTTTTATGCCAGGCGCTAAAAATAAGTCGAGCAGGGGAAAGCCAATTGATAGCTCGGAATTTCCACTTTTTTGAAATGAAGTTTCCAATTAAAATGAGAAACGTGAACAACGCGAATCTGTTGCAACAAATTTAAGATCTGAACTGGAAAATACCTTGAAATGGATTCTTGGACAATTTTAGGCGTTAGAAAATGTTATAGAAATGAAGTTTCCAATTAAAATGAGAAACGTGAACAACGCGAATCTGTTGCAACAAATTTAAGATCTGAACTGGAAAATACCTTGAAATGGATTCTTCCTGTTAAAATCCGCAATCTTTTACAATACTTTGCACAAGCTATACCCACAAACAGTAAGACCCGTTTAAAAAAATCACCGGTTAATGCTTTTGAGCCTACCTATGAGACAGTCCAAAATTTTATGAATAGCAGTAGTATAGTATAGTAGACGTAGACAGGTTCGAAGGAAAGTTTCGAATAAGACGTGCAGATATAATTCGTCAGCCAAAATGTATGTATCATTAAAAAAAGACTGAAGTATGCGTGTTTTTCACAAGAAATTCTTAAAGCATGACTTGAAAACATTCTCTTCACGCTTGTCACCTTCTGAAGGGATTTTATCTTCAAGAGCTTTCAGATAATTAAGAGACTAAGTACACCATGTAAGTCCAAGGTGATCGAGTGCAATTTACTAAGCATTTACAATTTGCTATCTTCTAAATTGAAGCTTTTCAAGTGAATCCCATTCCGATGGTATGAACCCCTTCTTTTGATTAACGAAATCAGAGCGAAATGTTTCGCTGGAAATCCAGTTGTTTTTTCGAAAAGTACCAATAGATTCTCACGATCACGTTTCTGAAGAATGCAATGCCTTTAAGCAAGATTTCGTTAAAACTGGCCGGTTTTCATCCGATCAACATGTTTACTACAAGATACGCCGTTCGAAAATAAAACTGTCGAATCTTCGGAAAATTATTGATGTTATCATATCTTTTGTTCAAGTCGACCAGAATAGTATGGAAAATTTCCTCAGCATTTCAACCATCCCATTCGTCGTTCCGTAAAGAAGAGGCAACTTTTTCAAAGAGATACTGACCATATCAGGAATCCTTTCAGTCCATGGAAGAGATAGCTTCAAAAAAGTTCCTCTCTATCTAGAAAATTTTACGTCCTTAAAAGCAAATACATTTATTTTTTTATCATCATCCAATGCTTCCCATTTAGTGAAAATGTTGTAGAGCATATTGATGAAATAAATTAGTAATGAAGAATTGGAATTATTTTTCATTCGAAGATTTCATTCCGAAGATTTTGATCTCTAATGTTCTTTAAAAGTTCAATCATACCGCAGTATAGTTAACTGTTCGTATTTTAATGAGGTGAAACTGAATTTTTGAAGAAAATCAGACTCAATTACCACGCACGTACTTTTTTTTGCATCATCAAGGCAGAAAAGTGGGTTACGCGTGATATATGCAGGTATAAATTTTCTGGAAGAAAAAATTAAGATATATGCAGTATTTTGAGTCATACAGATGATTAATCCGTTTGTGGAAAATGGGAAATTCTCAAATTTGGTTAAAATGCTCCATCTTATTAAATTTATTCATGTGATTATTTTGTTCAACGTTCTTTAAAAAAAAAATTAGGCCATTCAAATAATATTTCCCACCATACTGAATGAATTATGATTGATTTGTACGTATGTTTAATTTGTAAAACCTAGAAATGAATTCGAATCTTATTAAAGTGTGTTGAAAATTTATTCACAAAAAAGTACATTTTTTGGGCAAACATCATGCGAACAAACTAAGGTGGTACTCGAGTCTTCGTATTCAAATGATGAATTTTTTTTTTTGTTGAAGAAGAGAAAAATAATGGATAGAAGAAGTGAAACTCACGGGAAATCCTCCCTTTGCTTCTTGGTGACATCGCAATGCAGACACATTTTGTCCAATGGCAGCTCGTTACGACGAGCTGTCGTCTGCATGATGNTCTTGGTGACATCGCAATGCAGACACATTTTGTCCAATGGCAGCTCGTTACGACGAGCTGTCGTCTGCATGATGGCCGTTAGGAAGGACTGGGGATTGAACAGACCTCCGAGCCACACAGAACCCGGGAGCTGTCGAAAGAAACATGACCCTTCAGATGATTTCTAGGTCATGAAAACTGATTACACCCCTACCCGCCTTGAAAATTGCTTAAATTTCCTCTCCTGATGGATTCATCCAGTAATCCTTCGTATACAAGGGATTATATCGCTTCCCAGCACAGGGATTCTTTCTTTGCGCTGAACTGGCTCAACAACCCCTACAGGAATTATCAATTCGTTTGCAACCCTGAGATGTAATCAAAATGAACATTTTTTTCTATTTTCCCTTTCATTTATATATTTTTTTCAATTGTGCGATTCAGGTAAACAGTTGGAAAGGTTCCCACATAAACCTGGCAGTTTTTTTCCTTGCAAAATTATGAGAAAATTCCCTTTCGCCAGGAAAACGCCACATGGCGTCATACTAAATAATTACTTTACTCAAAGTGTTCTGTACATCACCCGATACAAAATACCTCTTTTACGCGTTCTTAAGAACGTTGATATAAAAAGTACCAAAAATTCAAATCTTGAGAAATATATACACACAAATATATAATACACAGAAAGCAAAATCCATAGAAAATGCGAAGTTTTGACCAGTGTGGACCTGATCTTTGACCAAATCCATAAAATCTGAACAAACTCATCCAGGTGTAATCGTCCGAACTTGAATTTTCTGGAGGCATTTTGGTTTTTTTTTTTTACACAGGAAAGAGAAAAGCATTACAAATGTAACTTCATGCAAATTGAAAGGAACTCAAAGGCTCATTGGTCAAATAAAACCTTGCCTCCGATTTCAGAATTAATTGGGCAAATATCACGCGTCTCTAATTTCAGCATCCTAGTCATTTGAAAGCAATTCAATACACAGAATATTCTCATTTTCTTCCCCCAACAGCATTTCTCCTCAAAGATTCTCTCCAAATTCTTTAATCAACAAAAACGTATCTGGGAGCAGGCTAAACATCTTGTACGTGCTTTAATTTGGGTTCAGTAAATTGCCTTATGCTGTAATTGGGGAGGGGAAGAAGGTGTATGCATTTACATCAGTTGCGCAATTGTACATTTTGGGATGCATTTTATTTTCTTTTAATATCCATATACAGCCTATTTCTCTATTTTCCATCCTGATGTGTTGGATTGTGCTTGGATAAATGTGGGTGATGGGGACTATTGAGGAGGGGAGGGGTTTTGGATGTGAGAACATGGCATGAACGCTGAATAGCAGAAAATGAAGCTTGCTGTTAAATCAATCATTCTTTGGCCAAAAATGCTGCTGTTTCCCCTAACTGCTGGAAACCTCATCCCTGAGCTTAATTTCCTTGTAGTTCCCTTCATCGGCGTTCGACTCCAAGAGGCTCGACTCTATGTTCGTGGGCGTCATTCATGTACATCATGATGAAGGAGGAGTATAAGCAATGGGTGATGTTACTCACGATGAAATCAGAACTCCATGACTCCAGTTCCCGAATGCGTTGGAGGAGGTCCGCATACCAAGGCCCCAAACTCAGCAAAGACGGATAAGCCTTCTTGGCCCAACTCACGGGCACCTGGTCCAGAAACAATGCGTTGCTCAGCTCCTCCATGTCCGCAGTGATTGTCAATTCCCCCTGGATTCAGTCATGGAAAATGCTTTGCCATTCTTCGCCAGAATATTCGCCGAAATATCCCCGTATACAGTATAATTACAGGCCGCGCCTACTCCTCCATTTCAAAAAATAAAAAATAAAATAATTAGGTGGGGTTCATGATGCTCGAGATATTTGAGTGTAGGGCGCTGTGAGTCATCTGCTGAGTAGCCTCTTCAGTAATCACATATGATGGAACATTTGAATGGGAAAAATAAATGGTGTATTCAGTACTCCTGCTCAGTCAAAACTCAGAATGATTTCTTTTTTTTTTACGTGGACAATACTGTAAAGCTCTATATATCCCAAACCCTGGATACAAGTACTGTACTGCAGATTTTTTATGGAGAAAAATGCGCAAACAGCCAAAGGAAAATTTTTTTCTGGAAAATCTCGCTACTGCGCCTATATTAATGTAAATCTTTACTGGATTCGTACGTTTCTTCGCTTTCTGCTGAAAGAAAAGTATCAATCTTTATTTCTGGGAGTAGATTTGAAAATCTGTAGAAATCAACTCGCGGAAATTGGCGATTTTTTTTCGCGTAGGTATATGCTGGTCATGTGCTGCTATTCTGCACAGAAATGTCGAACTTCCGGTGGTTTACACAGTCAAGATCGTTGAAATTTAACCAAAATTGAGATACTGTACTGACTTTCGTACAGCTACCGAACGCTGACGATAGTTGAGTTATCACGATATTGGATGAAAAGACGTTTACAGTACAGTACTTGAATGAATTGTAGTCCCAAAGTACACTATAGTTTTACTAGTCATGTAAAATCGCGAAAATGTATGCGTTGATTAGCGTGACTTAGAATAAAGGTCCAAAACTTTTTCTTGGACATCATTTACTCTTCAAAAATTAAATTCAATGAATAACGTAGTGCAGTAAAAAATGTCCAAACCGATCTAATATTTTTTTTGTAACTCGTGTGGAATGTTTTAAAGTCGCTACAAGATAATTAGTCACCGCAGTTTTTCAGAGATATTCAATTATTCGAATTCTCGAAATTTTGCGATCATCAATAATGTACTTACAGCATCATACAATCAACAATTATGACGCAACTGTATGAACTTTTATGCTCGGTAACGCATTTCACTCAACAGTATAACATTTATTTATTTTTATTGATGCAGCGAAATCACCCAATTTTGATTCAGTACGACCTATTGCCTTCAAACACAGCACTCACAACTTCCAGCCATTTACTGTATATTTTGATTGATGTTATTGTTCTTCGTCAATAATGAATGAAGCTTCGATCTTGGTACAATACTTTACTTTCAATGGAAGTACAGTATTGCACAATACTTGGTCATCATATTTTGACATTTTGCCTATTTACCTGAGCTATAATCCAACTCGAGCAGTATTCGATTAGCGAAAAAAGAAACGATGGAGGCAGAAAAATTAATCCGCAATCCGCTTGGCGCGTCTCGACCGGAACTAAGTAAAATTCAGTAAAAAAAAAAGCACGTAAAATGAAAAAAAAAACGTAGACTTGATCCTTCCTCATTTGGCTGATCGAGAGGATGGATAGAAAGAGGATCAGGGACAAACCTTGAGGCCGAGATCGAGTTCTCTGAGTGAACGGCGAATTTCCTTGGTTAGGGCATTCATGCGCTGACACTCTTGCAAAGCCACGACCACGTAAGGAGTTTTTTCCTCCACTTTCCCCATCAGTTCGTTCATGTTGAATTCCTCGTTCAATTTTTCCGCAATCTCATCGAGCACGGCTTTCACCTGGACAAATTAAAAAAATTACAATAGGCGAACAGATACACATTGAAATCAAGTAAAAGATGAGAAGACATTTGTATGATCGACGAAAAACAAAAAGATAATGGCTCAATTGTGACACGCATACCCTCAACGTCGTGCTTTCAAGTACGATAATATAAACAAAATTCACCGTTTAAAAAATGTACCGGGAAGAAATTTGACATGAGATTTGTGTTGCGAAAATTTGTAAAATAATGATCATATATATTGGTGTTCTACACTCAACAAAATTATTCCTAAGTTGCCAGAAAAGCCAGAATAAATGCAGTATTTCGATTTTTTCGCAAGGAAGTTTCAGGATATCCGAGAATTGTTCAAAAATTGCTTTGCAAAAATGACAAAAATGAAGAGAACGAATAACCCAAAATCAGTATAGACGGAAAATTGCGAACATGTTCATCGGAAGTATATAAAATATGTTTTACAGGATATCAAATACAAATAAGAAGTTCTTTGGTAGAAGACTTCAGTTCTTCATTCGGTATATTTTCCGTCGCTTTCATCTTTCGACTTCAGTGATTATAAAAGCAACCTGAATATTTTTTGCCTCATTTTAAATGAAAGAGGACATCTGACATAACTTCAATGTGGGACTGCAATTAAAAAGCAGTCTAGCATGCAATAATTTCCTAGTTATCCGGATAGCTACGCGATCCTTCGTTTTTTAAGCTTGAGGTCAATAAGAATAAGAGTTTCGTTTTCCTTTTCTCTGAAGTCGAGAATAAAATATTGTTTTTTGTATCCACTTCGAAAATTCTATCCACGAAAGGACAATAATGATCAAGGAAATATTCCAATGTATCTCTGAACTGCAAAATGAGCTGCTGAAAGGTGCTAACAGTAAAATCTTGTCATGAAACCAAGCTGCTGGGACCAGAAAGAACTCAATTTTAACGATAAATTCGTCATAACATGAATTTAAAATTACTGCTAACTGTCACAGACCTGAAAAACGCCTTCATTGTGAAAATAATTCGTTATAACGAGATTATTTGTAATGTGATACTAATTTTCCCGGAATGGCACTAAAATCTCGTTACAGCGAAGCCTGTGGTGCGAGTAAAATAGCTTCGCTATAAAGAAAAATTCTTTATACAGTAACTCTTCTATTACTGCGACTATTGGGCAGGGACCGAAAAATCTATTTTTTCTAAGCTATTAATCGTTGAAACGAGATTCTACTGTAGTTGAAATAAAGAGACTGAAACAATAACCTTTTCTTCCTTGGTGATGACAACCATGCCGGAAGCACTGGCGTCTCCACGTGGCTGCATTTCGAACACTATCTTGAAGACCTTCTCGGAAGTGGTTGTCAAGAAACCAATTTCCGCATTGGGATGCAAGCCGTACAAATGCGGGGTTTCCGGCGGAAGTCGATCCTCGATGTACGCGTGGTATCCGGCATAGTCCAGATTCGGAGGAGCCTGGAACCCCGGAGCCAGAAACAGTTCCCCATCCACCTGTGGAAGAATTTGACGCATCGTTTGCAATATTTTACTGATTTTCAAAAAATTGTAAGAAACCCCAAATTCTTATTTACCACTGGGACTTCGCTGAAACCATTTTATCCGGGAATCGGGGGATGCAGAAAACGGCATATTAAATCGATTTAAAGTGGGAGGCATTCTTAATAAATCCAGTTAAAATTTTCGAAGATAAAAATTAATAATATGAAATGCATTTCGAAAGCAGTATCGCAATTGAAAGATGTTTCATAATACATTACTGCAATACCTAAATTTTCGTGATAATAATATAACGATCAGTTTTTTTAGGGGAATAGAAGCACGGACGCTTAGTTCAAGCATTATTAGAAAATCAGCTTTTCCATGACTTTATATATGGAGATGAAAAAATAATGCTCAAGACCAGTCACGTGCAGCTAGGATTAAGGTTTGGATGATCTATAAGAAAATTTTGCGAATGACACGAATATGCAGTCCATGCTGATGTGCTTTTTTCTTCGGATTCTTATTCCTCTGGTACTAATTTTTTGGAAGTCCGAGAAATTTCAGAAACTGTATCCCAAGATGCTTGATCCTGGAATGGTTATGAGCCAAGCATTTTAAGCTAAAAATAGTACTTATTGCAGAATAAAGCTGAACTTGGAATTAAACTATCCAATATCTTCAACTTGATCGCTAATAATTTGGTTTCAACCAGACGGGAATAGATTGATGTACGTCAAAGTTTCTTGCACAACAGGCAGACCGCAAAAAATCTTCGCATTCATTTCATAGTAACGTTTCTAAGACTTATTAGCTTTTTTTTTTTAACCGCAGTTTTGCATTTTTTTCTTCACCGAGCTCATGCAATCGATCATCCTCCTGTAATATTTTCGCAGAACTCCACTCAAATGCCAATTTATTTGACCTTATGTGCGTGAAATTTCTACTCGCTCTTGAGTCGACTTCGGCTGACATCAAAGCAGGTTTTCCGCATCCATAACCCAACAGAATGACATCGTGAATTTTGATCCAATTTGAAGCTCGTTATAAACTAGGGTTTTTTCACTATTTCTTTCATGAGATATCTTCGGAATTTCTTTTATATAGCATAGCCTGAACATGGATTTTTTTTAAGGTTATCCAGTTGTTCGTTTCATTTCACTTCTTTGGCATTCCGTAATCGTGAAAAGGTAGTTCAAGTCAGGGTTTATTATTAGAATACAATTCGGAAATGTTGCCGATTTTATTTTTAAAAGCCTCGTTGTAACGAAATTGAATGGAGGACAATATCTCGACTTTAGAGAATTTTTACCGAAGCCACAAACATCAGGTCTGAGGAGAATAGACAGGATCAAACGGGAATATATTTCAAATTCAGTTTAGTCATCCCCCTTTTCGCGAGGTGTTCAACCTGAAAACCGGGTGATCGTTATTGAAGTTTTTGGCCCAAAAGAAAACTTTGTTTTCGGAGATTTGCGTAGATTCTGATGAGATCAACTTCATCATCGCATTTGCATATTTAATCAAGGGCCTTTTGTGCATGCGATTACTCACGACTTCGGGTTGAAGGTATTCCTCTAGATACGTGCGACACAGTCTGCGATCCCAGTCGTCGGTGATGTGGCCCCCGTACATGATTTCGCCAAATAAATAGCGCAAATCTTCCCAAGGAACCCTGTTGTTCGCTTCCAGGTAATTATACAACACGTCCGCACTTATCAATAAGTCTCCTACAAAAGAGAGAACCCAATTTTTTCGACAATAATTAGAATGATTTAAACAAAACAAAACCCATTCATGAAATTTCACTTCTCACCAGTATTGAAGGGGTAACTTCGGTTCCATCCTTGGAATCCGAATTTTTTCCGCTCAGAAACCACTGCGTGGAAATAGCAGATGCAGAACAGGATGCATTTGAACTCAGTTTCTTTTGTGCATCTGTCCAAAGTGTCCTGATTGAAATTGTCCAGGGCTTTGTGCAGATTCGAATACATCCCCGAGGGCGGCTCATTTGTTATTTTGATGGAGGATTCCAGCAATCCCTGATTGAATTGAACCAGAACGAAAATGTTTCGTCAATTCTCCCTTCGATCATTCTCAAAAAAATACAAATCGAATTTCTATACATTCGAAAGGTGAAAAAAAATTAATTCGCGATGCTTCAAAAATGACCGATATGCGTACCTGAGGAATGATGTGTGACCTGGAATTGGGTGCTGGTTCTGCCGACATGAAAACTCTGTAGTCTGGGTGACTATTTTCGCTGAATTTCTCCATTTTTTTCTCCAACCGTGGCAGCCAATTTCTTACCAAATGAATATTCTGTCAAAATTTTCCGAAAACCAATTTACATTGCGCAAAATTCCCCATTTTCGTCAGCTTCCCAATTCGAATTTTTCTTCGTGATTTTCCAAATATCGTTCACCTCACTTTACATTACAGCATTTCCGACACTCATCTTATTCCAATTTAGAAAATTTAATTAATACACATGAACTGGGAGTGACATCTGATGATGTCGGCTGTATTTTCAGAGAATTTCAGTTGCGGAGACAAGAAATGTCATTGACAACCTCTCAATAAATAGTGTAGAGTGCGCTAATCTTTCGTAAAAATGGAGGATTTTTAGATTTAAAATCGTCATCGATTTAGAGCTTTTAAAATTTCTGATGAATTTTGCACGACAGTGCCCGTGATCTTGCGCCATAAAGGTTAACCGACGCTAATTTCCGCTTTAGCACAAAAATCGCCGACGTTCAAATGTTTGTGGAAAGGCTTCCTGAGCTTCACTGTTTTTTTTAATACAAAATTTGTATTTTCAACTGTTTTTCTAAAATAAAATGTCAGTTTATTGATTTCGTTGGCACTCAGCAGCAGTCGAGCGTCTCGCTTTTAGTTTAGTGCAAATTACATCAGTCGGAAAGTTTTTGAGCGTTTCTTAAAAAAAATAAAATTATCCCGTTCACGTGCTTCCCAAAAAGTTGTTTCTGTTGAGCACTCGGGATGAAAAGGCAAAAATCAGTGACCTGTAAAACCACCCAATGGCCATTTTTAGAAGCTGCCTCCAGGGCTTTCTCTGCAACACTTTCCTGCCCTTGGCCCAGCGAAATGTTGTGGAAGTTTTCGCGATCGGTACTGAAACCCAGAGAACGGCCCAGTTTCTCCACATCCTGAAATTTGATGGATCGCAAAAAAATAAAATAAAACATAAATCAACCCGGGAAGCGTCGCGGTCGCTTTCCTTTTCTGATCAAAATCCCGTGTACAGCAGAAAAACTCACTTTCAAAGGGTTTACTCCTGGTGACAGGATAAAGAAGATCGGAGTGCATGGGCCAGACTCTGAAAACGACTGAGCGAAGTCCATGCTTCTGCCTTCGACGTACTTTTGACCCATTCGATCTTCCACAAAGTGTCTTTATTTGAACCAAAGAGCACAAGATATATAGATTTTTGCACGTCGTCTATATCTACTATGATTTGCTGTATAATTGTCTCTGGAATGTGTGCCCACTCTTGGAGCAAAGCACGGAGCCAGGTTTGGTGACCCTGCTGTTTCTTTCTTCCTTTTTGTTTCAATGGGCAGTGCTGTGTGGCAGCGCAGCATCCCCAGGAATTTGGGAAGTTGAGGAAAATTCCAAAAAGGATGAACACAAGATTCTTTTGTGTGATTTGTAGTGCACGCTTTTTCCTTCGCTGGTAGCGGGTTTGGAAACTAGTTCACTCTTGCAGGAAATGGAATTTTTCAAACTGCTGGAGTGCAGAAATTCATTCAGGATTGAGCTTTTGCTTAAGAAAAATCAGGGAATACATTTGGGAGCCTGAATCAGAAGAGCTTGTGTGCAAATTATTTTTTTACTTTCCTGGTCTCTGCTGTGGTGGTGATGTGACATCAACGTGTCCAACCTTTATTGTCTGACAATTTTTCAGAAACAGCAGTTTCAAGTGAGCAGAGAGAGAGAGACAGAGAGAGAGAGAGAGAGAGAGCGTGTGTGTGTTTGCATGTCTGCAATTTTTAATGGGCGCACTGCCAGATGCTACAGATGCTTTGGGAATAACTGTATTATTTTTTGAATATTACAATAGTTCATTAGGCGCTGAACTTTTGCACATTCATGCTGGAACTTGCATTCACTCATTCAGTTTAAGTTTGTGCCATTTATGCTTGTCTTTAAAGGATGGCCACCATCTAACGTATCTAAGGAGTAGAGCCCATGCAGTACTGTACAGTACTGTATATGCATTATTGATATTTCTGTTAAAATATAAGGACGCTCCTGACTCCTACACCGATTCGTTTCCGCGTCACAACCGGGCTATATACACAAGTATTACTACTGTTTCCTGCCACTGCTGCATATATAGGTGATATAATACTCACAACTGTTAAAATATAAGGACGCTCCTGACTCCTACACCGATTCGTTTCCGCGTCACAACCGGGCTATATACACAAGTATTATTACTGTTTCCTGCCACTGCTGCATATATAGGTGATATAATACTCACAACGGTGACTTGCAATTTGTCCCTGGCCCCTCAATTTGACCTGCTTATTTTGCATTTTTGTACTGATATTTTTGAATTTCACAAAGTGTCTTGCAAGTTGACTGCCTTGCAATTTGACCATATTTTGGAAATGGATTAGGGTGAAATTGCAAGGTACCACGTGTACTGTATTTGTTGAAATGAGATTTCACTGCAGTTACATAAATTATTTAAAAATCGAATGGCAAAATTAAATCTCGGGCATGATTGCAGACACAGTACTGTACGCAGGAAAAATTTATAATTCCTAGTTGGACGAGTTGGAAGAAGAAGAAGAAAAAGAAGCCCCTGGGAATAAATACGTACAGGAGTGCGTAGGTCATGCGGTCGGGTCTCAGAGCCCGCATCATACACAGCTGTTGAATCGCGCTGCGGTTCTTCCACTCCTGGGGCAGTTTCTCCTTTTCCGGGGTTTCGGATTCCACGAACTTCTTCCATCGCTTGGACGAACCCTCGATGTCCCGGTCCAGGTTCCTGTTCATCAACGCGGAAAGGTCAACCCAGGAAGGGTTTCAATAACTTATCTTTCACAATCCAGAAGAGAGAGAGAAAAAAAACTAAGAAAAGGATTCTTTCCCGATGTGTATGCCGTCGTCATACAGGACCGTACGAGGGTTGGTTCATAAGATTTGCGAATTTTTCGAAGAATATCCAACAGAGTTTCAACAATTCCACAAATGTTTTTTTGTTGTTGTTGCTCGGATAGCCTCATCATTCGACAACACTTCAGTGCTGTTCACCATACTCTCCACCGATTTTATTGTTCATGCGAAAACAGTGCCGAAAATCGAGTTTTGTGGAGTAAGCTGCTCTTCGACGGCGGAAATGAGGCACATGTTTGCCATTTTTTGGAAAAGAAAAATCCCTTCAGTGCTGTTGAACCGCAATGAAGGGTTGAAAAATGATGTGGCCATGCGAATAAAATTAAATTTTTCGTAATTTTAGGAACTCTGTCGGATCTATTTCAAAAATTCGCGAGACTTGTGAACCAACCCTCGTTTATGCAGCAGCTGCGGTCATCGTGATTCCGACCACCCAGAGTGAATTACTTCTTCCCAATCCTATATTGAATCAACCCGAGTTTTAAAATTTATATCATGCTCTTGATTCTCTTCTCAGAAAGAGAAGAGATTTGGATTATTGACAAATCTGACGCAAAAATCCCAAAAATAGGACTCCGTGATCTGAAACTCTTCGGTTTCGATTCAACTTCACCGCGGAACTCGTTCCAAATTCCATTACGTTTTCCAAGCCTCAACTGTTACGGTTATTCTTCCATTCATCGAATACCTCTTTTCTCTTTGAAATTTATCGAGCCGAAAGGCTTGATAAATTTACCTTAAATCAGATAAAAATGCATCAAAAGAAGTTCAGGTTAGTTTGTGGGTCATGTAAAAATGAATTAAATAGTGCGAGTTCCATTCCAGTTTTGGAAGTCGGATAAGATAGAATAGTTTTTTGAACCAGAGCTTTTTGCTTACATTCCCCTACTACAATACTGTACATTAATGCATCCAGAAAAATAAGCAATTTATTTTCCACGACAAAATTTTTTAAATCCAAAAGCTCTTTCAAGTTTTCGTGCGAGCTACTTTTTCGGTTAGACTCGCATGACGAAGTGAAGCGTATTTCCATAGACGGAGTAAGATGTGCTTTGCGACACTTTGCTTCAAGCTTTAGCTAGAACTTGCAAATTCTCTTCCGCGAGAGATTGGATTTCTGAGAAACAGGAGTCTCTTGATAAAGTACTTTTCTCTCAATTTTGTGGAGTAAAAAAAAATCGAACTTCAGGGCGTAGAAAGTTTTGTTGGCACAAGACAGCGTGGAGTGGTACAGCATTATTCAAATTTTAAAGTACTAAATTATGTAAGTGGTTTAAAACATGCTGTACCATGGAAACCAAAATTTCCACTGCTTCTTTAGGAAGTGTCTGACGATAAATCTACTATAGCGAATGACACGTGCTCCCTGGAAATATTAGTAGCATTTACAAAGAAAAGATTCACATGTAAACAATCTCGAATTCAACCGTGATCAGCAGTTGAGGAATACAAAATTCTGTAATATATGCTAGAATCAGGTTCCGGTTTTTCTTTCCCCCTGTAAAATGTCTCAACAACATCGCGATGATTCTCATCAGCAATCTATAAGTAATCATCTCAATCCGAATAGTGTCGAACTTCAGGGCGTAAAAAGTTTTATTGACAGAAGCCAGCATAGAGTGGTAAATTATTCAAATCTTAAAATATAAAATCCTGTGAATCGTTTTAAAAATGCTGTACCTGTACTCATCCATGGAAGCCAACATTTTAACTGCTCCCCAAGAAGTGTCCGACAAGAAATCCACTGGCGATGGACACGGGCTCAATG